CGAGGTCGGGCTCCGCGCGTCGTGGAGCTGCCACGTCGATGATCCTGACGTGGGGCGAATGTTGGTAAGCAGGGTGGGTCCGTCGTCCCCAACACACCGCAGTGCGTCCCCAATGGCCCCACTTACACCCGTACCCCTCGCTGGGGCGATGTCGTCTATCTTCTTCACCAACACCGACACTGTGTCTTCCAAAGTTTTCTGTCATGGGAGATAAAATAATGAAGTTAATGTCTCGCTATATATAGCTAGCTTGGCGGTATTTTAGTTTACTTTTTAGACTTCCAAAGTATGTTAATTCAATGTTGGCTTTCCACTTAAAAAGTGACTGTGTACTGCTAGTATCCTTACAAACTATGATTAACATATTATATAGGTATCTTTTAAAACCACTTCTGTTGTGTGATAATGTTGAGTAGAACGGTACAAAGTTCCAGAGAAGAGACATCGATGTGACAGTCTCATCATAAAGTAGACCGAGCATTGTAGGTAAAGAATTTAACACTCACTTTTATCTGCTTTGCGACTTCGACGGCCATCTGTGGGAATGTAGATATTGCAAGGGTTAGCTGATCACACCCCACATACATATTACAACACAGTAAGAAAAATGTTCTTGCCAAGTGGAATATAGTATATTCAGCTTGTCATTACATCTAATACCCATGAATCGAGAATCTACTGCTGCACTAACAATGGTACAACGTACCATCCGCGCCATCTCCGCAAGTTGCGGCCCGGTCCAATGAGACTTGCCCTCGGCACCCTTCGACTTTGACTGCGCCTCGAGAGTCTGAGTGAAGAAAAATAGTGCATTGATGTCCCAGGAAGGAAGTCTCATCACACACAAAAAATCGGTTCTACACACATGGGTCCTCTAGTGCATGGGATGTGAAAATCTTTCAGCATTGATGTATATGAATATGTGATATGTGACAATAACGTGGCGATTATCCATTTGCTACTTATGTAATTGTGATGCAGGTTCAAAGCTTTAAAAGTCCTTAAAAGAGACCATATATTTTATGATTCAATTTATCATATTGTGCATTTGGCTATCTCAGGGCATGGTCTAAAAAATGTTGCAGGACTGAGGAAAATAATCAAACCTCCTTGGTTGCAGGTGGGGGGGGGGGCTCCAATCCCAGAAGTGCCCTGGTGGTTTCCCTGTCTTGTTCAGCTAGGGCAGCCGCTTTCCTCCTTTTTTCTGCAGTCACGGTCTCCTGGAACAGATTATTTAGAACAATCTGTGTTGATAGAGATGGCAAGTGTTTCAAACTGATCCAGATCGTGTACTTCGCAGTACGGGTACTGGATACTTTGGGATGCAGGCATGACATATCACACTAAAAGACAAATGAACTTTGACTTACCACTGCATTCTTCGCAGGAGCTGTCTTTTCTGGAAATAGATAGATATAAAGGCGTGAGAAAGTATATACACATACCTAAGTTACATCTCATTACCGTTTAATGTCAGATAATCAGGTCGACCATCACCAGGCTTTATCTAGATAACAACTGAAACACCACTGTTAATCCGACAATCTGATTTAACATACACCCCAGAAAGTAAGGTGATCGATAATTTGATTGCTTTTCTACAGCATGCAATTGCGACGCGCGCACACACACACACACACACACAAACACAAACACAAGAGAGGTGAATATATGCAGCTCACTCACTTTTCCCGGTGGACTTCCGGGTATCTTCTCCCTGTTTGTCAGTCGAATCTGTACGATGGGTAGAAAGGGAAAACTTAACCAGTTGTTAAAGGAAAATACTGAATACTAGTATCGTTTCACATTATATATCATTATACCATTCAGGCGTTATGACATTGTTTACGTAAGGTCAACTTAGTGGACAATAAAAAGTTGAAAACTTTAGACTCTAGGATATTGCTAATGACAATTATTGAAAAAATATCTAACCGTCTGTTTCACTCTCTTCTGCTTCCTCTTCTCCCTTCTGCTGTCTTTTGTTTCCTGCCGTTGGCTTCTTCTTCCGCGAGTTTTCCGTCACCTTCTCCTGCCCTTCCATGCTCCCCGTCTCCCCTGTGATGTCAAAAAATCAGTTTATTGTTATTATAAACAAACGGTATTTATATCACAAAAATATAGAACATCACGCTGTCTAGATACCAACTGATCAGGAGACGCCAGTAACACTATATAATGAACCCAGCGTGCCTATATAAAATTCAACTAATAGCCTTAGTCTATTAGTTGAATTTTTTATTTAGGCATTATATAGTGTGGTCACTTCAATGTAGCACTCAGGCTGAGCCGTACAGCTCACATTGGTGGAGGCTAGGTGGCAAAGACAGTTTAGCATGTCAAGTAAAACTCTTAAATGCACTTTTGAAATGAGAAAGCAGATACGAAATTGCATGGTTGCACATGAAGTTAGATTTTCCAGTAACCCAGAATATGAAGTTTGCTATTATCTAAATGCCCTGTTCTACATTCAGCCTACGTCTATGCTGGTTTATTTGACCGTGAAAGTAGACACCACATTCTTATAAGCAATATTTCACAAGACTACGTAAGTTAATGCAGCTGGAAGAAAGACATTTCACGTGCAAGTAAAGAATCAAGACTGCTTGATACACTTTGAAACAACAAGGGAATCTTAAATTTAGTAACGTCCTTGGATAATTTAATGTGTATAACAACGTATCGTTAAATACATCCTGATTAAATCTCGCTCGTGGCGCCGCCCCCCTTGGGGTCATAAATCCCCGGCCGTGAGTTTGTATAAACACAGGCTACATTAGTTTCAATATGGTATACTGAAAACCATGCAGTAGAGAAATATATTTGAATCGTTTGAAAACTGACAAGCATGCAAATCTTCTCCAACTGAAGGAATTGGGCTGCCCAGTGTTTTTATGAGTTAATGTAGCTATTGGCGTCAAATTACTTTTCGCACGCACACACACAGACACAGACACACACACACACACACACACAAACACACACACACATATACACACACATACACAAAAGAGAGGTAAATATATACAGCTCACTCACTTTTTCCGGTGGACTTCCGGGCAGCCTTTCGCTGTTTGACAGTTGAATCTGTACGATGGATAGAAAGGGAGAATGTAAGCCAGTTGTTAAAGAAAAATGCTGAAAATCTTTTTTACATTATACATCAGTATACCGTTCAATTCGGGCGGCCATGCCCTTACTCCCCGTTATAACATGGTTAGATTCATCGGTAAATACTAATCTTTCCGTCAACCTTGCACACATGAGTGATGTCAGGGTTTATTCTAAGATGTATTTATGCTGAGAAGACATTTTTTAGATGTCAGTGAGTAAAAAATGAAAACAAAAAAGAGAACCGAATTCTAGCCAGTATCCGCCAACAGCCAGCCATCAATTCTTTCCCATCGATAGCGAATTGTTGCTAAATCCTATTAAATTGTGGTAAGTGTCAATTGCAAATAGGTTCCAATTGCCGGTCTACACCCCGCAAGGGCGTGCGGCGACACGGGTCAAGTCCCAGTCGGCGGCTGAATAAATAGTAGAAATCATTTACCAGAGGAGTTTCCCGGCCACAGAGGGTCCAGAAAGCTTAATCTCCAAGCAGATCTTTTGGTGGGGGAAGACAGTATGGGTGGGGAAATGGTTACAGACTGCTGGCCAATTTGATATCTGTCTTCCCCCACCAAAAGATCTGCTTGGAGATTACAGAAAGCTATGGCCAGGAAACTCCTCTGGTAAATGATGTTCCCCTTAGGCGATTTCTAATTTTTATTCAGCCTACAAAGGAGTCTGGTGGAGACTAGGTCTAGATCTGGCTGGGGTTACCCAGTACGAAATGTAGTCAAGCGTAGTACCATATTTTCCAAAATTCCAAAACTTTTAAAAACTTGCAATAATTTACTCTTCACCCCCCCCCCCACAAAAAAAAATTCTAGTGCAAAACATAAAACACCGCTAAAAAATACACTAAAATCATGTCAAAACTAAACCAAAACTCAAACCTCTGCCTGGATATTAGCATGAATGCAATTTATTTCGATAAGGCCACACAGATTTAATTTCATGGATGACATCCGCGCGTGCATTGATTTTCACCTGTTCTCAAAAAAAAGATCACGTCAACCGAGGCTCTGGCTTGGCTACCGAAGCTCCACGACTCAAGAATTCAGTACATACGCACATTGCCGATTCATACATTCCGCAAAAAAAAGCTAGCATGTGCCGGCTTGTCGTATACGACGCTAACTACTACCGCACATTCACAATACCAGCCTTGTATTCCCGTGGTTTAGTAGCATTTTTATTTTTGGCCGGATTTTTTTTTCGCCCGCGCGCACTAGTTTGGGGGTCTTCAAAGGATGTCATCCATAAAATTAGAGTGGTGTGGCCTAACTTTAGAAGCGGGATACAACATTTAAGAGGACGGAGAAAAATTGAAATCAGGAGCCAATGCGGAAAAAAATATCCAACCGTACTAATAGGCTTACACAGCACACAGTACAATTTGAAAATTGCGATTAGTCAGGCTACGAAGGAGGCCATGAGTCCCATTACAAAACATATGGCACCTAGACTAGAATCACATGTGACAGCGTGGTTTTAAATTTTTGGCCGCTTGCTAGGATTTAATAGGCAATTAATACTAGTACCACACAAATACATAATACATAATTTACTGATAAAAAAAGCTTAAAATTATCAAAAGAAAACTAACCGTCTGGTTCACTCTCATCCGTCTCGTCTGCTTCAAGCAACTTCCGCGTTGGCTTCCTCTTTCTCGAGCTTTCCGTCACCGCGGAGATGTTCTTTTTCCTCTCCTTCAGGTCCATTCGGAACACCTTCTCCTGCCTCCTCATGCTCTTCTCATCTGTCAAGTTTTGCAAAACATAAAAATAAAGTTCATCAGTATTAGAAACCTATGATATGTACGATGTACGAAAAGAAATTCACGCAGAGACCATAGCCTCCTGTGCAGGCTCCGGGGCGGGTGAGAATTTTGATAGAGCGCTTTAAAGAGTTCTTAACGCGTTATTTTAATAGCTGGCTATCCTACAACCAGCCGCGAGAGATGGTTCTATTCCGCCCACTGGAACCATCTCTCGCGGCTGATTGTAGGATGGCCGACTATTAAAAATAACGCGTTAAAAACTCTTTAAAACGATCAAAATACCCACACGCCCCGGAGCCTGCACAGAAAGCTACAGATATCACGGCAAAGTCACACCACAGACTGAGGGCACTTTTCTGGTCTCCGTGGGATCGTAAAACTTATCATTCTCTGCTATAGTCGGGAATGTGTAATACAAATGAAGAAACTATCCATGAAACCCATATCAAATTCCTCTTACCTCCAAGCGCCAACAGAACGCCCGGGTACGGTGCATACTTGGTTCTCTTTGGCTCCAAGTGGTCTACAACAGGCCAGTCAACAACGATTTCATCCCGTAGTTTCGTCTCCTTAGAGAACCCTTGGATCTGCTCAACTTTTACCGTGTAGTAGTCTTCCTCTTTGGGGAAAAAAACCACCGCGAACATTGTTAAGCTAGAAAATGCCGAAACTGACAGAAACTCTAAGATACTGCGACTGGCGATAACTGGCGACCAAACCGCGACTGCAAAGTGAAGAAAAAGCCTTCAGCTTCTGGACTCATATAAAAGTTTTCACGCAGGCGCAGTTCGATTGATTAGACAGATAAGAGAGTGTCGTGGCACTTGCGGCCAATCAGGGACGAAGGAAAACTCGTTTGTCAAGCGAAAAAGTTGTTATTTCAGGTCCTTCCTCAACATTAGTCATAAACGCCACAATAAACATGTGGTCCCAGCAGGCAGCGTCTTGAAACAACAAACAGTGTCGTGTTGTCACGGAAAGTGAAGTCCACGGGAGGACCTCCGGAGATTTGGTGAAAACAAAACAGACCCGGACGAAATTGCCTGAGAGCAATCTTGTGTACGAAGCCAGGGGTTTAAAATGTGTAAGATATCAAACCCGGCCGCGCTTCATATTTTCATTCACAAAAATGATAAAAAAGACCAAGGCCGACATTCCGTCAATCCTTAGATCAAGGATATGAGCGATCTAGAACCAGAGCATTAAACTCTACTTTGTTTCTATTCTATGCGGCCTCAGCTTTTCGCACATTAGCAATTAGTGGTAATGGTGAGCTGGAATACCTCGGAAAACCGGTAACGCATGTGTACATTGTTTTGAGGGGGGAAGGGCCCGGTCTTTGTTTAATTAAAAAAATAGAAGTAGTAGAAGTTAGAAGTTCTTCAGGCCGGGTAGGAGTTCTCTACAGTTTGGGCCTAGCTCTCTGGCCGTAGAGGATAATCCTTTAGGGCTTTGTAGTTATAGACTGTGTGTAACTTCATGCGAATGTCAAACTTTTATTTAAAGCTGTTAACACTGGGCGCCACTGGGTAAAGCGGTCCAACTTGCTGTTCTGTTTGTGAAGAAGTATATGTCTCATGTTCGTTTTTGCCAGCTCCTTTTCAGGTGGTGACCTCTTGTTCTTTTTTCTGTTGTTATCAAGACACTCCCCATTTAAGCCCTCTCAAGTGATCGTGTTTACAGACGGAAGGACGCCAACACACACATAGACGAACGCCTCTGAAAACATAACATACGTGATACGAACCCTTCTGGGCTAAGAATATTATAAAAGATGTAAGGTAACCTTTTACAAACGTGGCCGCATTTTATGGCTAACATTCTTTAGCTCAATATATTAGAGAATAAAATAAGTATAGCAAAAAAAGACATGACATTTTCGCAGTTTCAATGGTGGTGGCAGATTTTACAATGTGATTTGAAACAGAATATTTTTTTAATCGGCCATCTTTGCGTGCCATGTCAGCAGCAACGCGATGACTGAGTTCTGCAAGCAATTACACCGCTGCGGGAGACAAGAAATTCCTTGAGAAGCAAGTCGTCTTCTGTCCATCTGTGGACAGCGAAATAGGCCACTTCCGGTCCGATTGGTGAGTCGCTCGGGCCTACAGTCTACCTGACTGAACCAGAGTCGCTTTTCGCCGG